ACTGGCTCAGCAGTATCTATACTACCTGATTCCATCTATTTGCATTACTTTAAAGATGTGCCTTTTACTGAACCCAGGCTTCACTTGGTGTGCTATTTGAAAAACCATATTCCAGTACGTGGCTGCCTGCCAGCAATAGTTACTTTTGGTGATTGCTGTGTAACTGCAGAATTCTACATTGTCCACAAAGGTACTCCTATTCTTGGCAGAGATTTATAGGCTGCTTTAGATCTCAGGGTAGTTAATGGACGAATTGATCTTCCTCAGCAAAACACTCTTGCGGTACACACACCAGTTTCAGCTGGGACTCAACACCAGGTTGAGGAGAAACTCGGCTGTGCTTATGGGTTTCCGCATAAAGTTAATATGCGGAATAATGTGATGCCTGTATGACAGAAATTATGGCACTTACCATTTTCAGTCAGGGAAGCTGTTTCAGAGGAACTTAGAAAACTTGTTCAAGAGGACATTGTTGAAGAGATTAACTCCTCGGAATGGGTTTCACCTGTAGTAGTGACGCAGAAGAAGGGTGGAGGCATTTGCCTTTGTGTGGACTTAAGGGAGCCAGATAAAGCTATTGTGATTGGCAACTATCCTCTTCCTCTCATAGAAGAAGTATTTGCAGAACTCTGTGGAGCAAAGATGTTTTCTGCTCTTGATTTGCAGAGCGCATACCGCTAGGTTATGTTGCAAGAAGATAGCAGAGACCTCACAGCATTTATTAAACGAGGGACTATTCCGTTTTAAACGTGTTCCCTATGGTCTCGCATCAGGCCCAAGTGCCTTCCAAAAAATGTCATTGATTTTGAAGAATCAACATGGAGTTCAGTGCTATTTGGATGATATTATCGTGTTTGGAAATACTTCGGAGGAGCATGACAGTAACCTGCAGTCTGTACTAAACTGCATCAGCAAAGCAGGCCTCAAGTGCAATAGGTCCAAATGCAAATTTAGACAAACTGAATTCTCCTTTCTGGGGCATACAATTTCACAGGCTGGACTAAAACCTGATCCGGCTCATATCCTGGCAATTTCAAATGTTCCTCCTCCAACAGATTTGCAAAACTTACGTTCCTTCTTGGGTCTTACCTCCTGATATGCAAAATTCATTCCCAATTATGCTTCTGTCATTGAACCGTTACGAGAATTATTACGGGGAAGTTCAACCTTAGTGTGGACAACGGATGCACAAGCTAGTTTCGAAACGGTGAAAGACTTGATTGTACATAGTCCAGTACTTGCACTATTCAGTCCTGTCTTGCCCACAATTGTAACTACTGATACTTCTGATTATGGACTTGGGGCTGTCCTCACGCAGCTTCATGAGGACAGCACAGAGAGGACTGTTGCATTTTCTTCAAGGACACTAAGTAATGCCGAGAGGAAATATTCTACAGTCGAAAAAGAAGCACTTGCTTGTGTCTGGGCTACTGAAAAATGGAGAACTTACCTGTGGGGCCGCATGTTCAAGTTGCGCACAGACCATGGCCCTTTGACGTTGCTCACCACGAAAGAACTGGGAAGAGCAGGATATCGTATTACTAGATGGTCTGCAAGACTACTCTTTCAATTATGAACTGGAATATAAACCTGGAAACCAAAATGTGGTAGCTGATTGCCTTTCTCGCCTGCCTTTGCCTTCACCAGATGATCCACCGGAGGATGAGGGTGTAGTAGTTGCACTTATTACAAGCACTCTTACTGCAGTTACAAGAGAACAATTTCAAGCTGCTTGTTCAGCGTGTCCAATTCAACAAAAACTATGGGAATTTCTGACAGACGGCCCAGTCACCCTAAAAACCTTGACCCAGTTTTGCTGCCTTATTTTAGAGTTCGGGGTGAACTTTCTTTTCTCGATGGCTGTGTGCTATGAGGTACACACCGGCTACTTGTGCCAGAAGAATTACAGTCAAAACTCATACACCTGGCACACAATACTCATCAAGGAATTGTCAGAACCAAATGACGACTATGGGATCTGTATTGGTGGCCAGGGATGGACTCTCAAACTGACGCACTCATAAAATTCTGTGTCACTTGCCAAATCCATGATAAGACAGCAGTGACATGTACCCCTCCATTACAGCCTGTTCTTCTTCCTGAATCTGCATGGGAAAAAGTGGCAATTGACATTGTAGGACCCTTTGATACTGTTCCAATTGACTGTTGTTATGCCATCACCTTAATAGAATAGTTCAGTAAATGGTCTGAGGTAGCATTTACATCGCAAATCTCTTCTGCTACAGTAATTAAGCTCTTCTCTTCAGTTTTTAGCAGGGAAGGGAACCCCAAAGAACTGGTTTCAGATAATGGTAGTCAATGTACTTCCTTGGAGTTTGAAACTTTTCTAGGAGAGAGGAACATTTTTACACAGAAGGTCATCCCTATACTACCCTCAAGCCAATGGGGAAATGGAACGGTTGAACAGAAGTTTGAAAGAGAGTTTGCAAAACTGGAAGGGAGATTGTGGATAACCTTCACTACTGATTTCTTGCAAGCATACCGGGCTACACGACATGCCACAATGCGAAGATCACCCGCAGAGTTACTGCATGGGAAACGGATGAATACTAAACTGAACATTGCTGGATTGTTAAAGGCACGACCTGATGCCCCAACCGAGGATGATATGAGAAAAATAGTTGAACAGAACCAAGCGAAGTATAAGGCTTTCACAGACAAGCAGTGGGGTGCTAAGGAACCAAAGTTTCAGTGTGGTTCCTTTGTTAGAATACAAAAACCTGGAATTTTATGCAAAGGGGAATTCATAAATTCACAGCTCCTCTTAAAATCATGGCGAAGAAGGGACCTTACACTGATCGACTTTCTGATGGGTGATATGGGATGCTTCTTATCTTGCACCTGCTTATGCACCAAGAGGAGATTATGCCAACACCCAGTCTGCATGGGATGACTTCACCATAGTATCAAACCAACAAGACATTGCACTGGAACCGGGGCTTGAGAGATGGCCTTTCAGACCCAGACGACCACCTGTCTGGACTAGAGACTATGTTACCTAGTGTCTATAGTGTTTTTAGTGTAATAATTCTGTTAACAATATAGTGCTTGGTTTCCTATTTGTTCCTGTGGTTAGAACAACGTTTATTGTAATTGGGAGAGTTTCTCAAGAGAGGAGGGAATGTGTTGTTTAGATGTTGCTTGTAATTATTAGAATTGAGAGCACTGGCTGTTGGGAGTCTGAAAGGACAGGAAACAGGAAGGAGGGGGAGGAGTTGAAGAGGCTGAGGGAGAGCTACTGATGGTGCAACAGCAGCTTGGAAAAGAGGTTTCCACTTTAAAAAATAAAGTCCTGTTGAAGTTTGTTAGTACCTTGCTTGGCCACTACAACAGGAGGCTATATACATTTCATTAGCAGTAGAAAATTATTACTTGGTGAAATTTTATCCCATTGTGATGGGTTCCTGCACTAACATTCCTATTCTTGTGACATGAGCCAAAATAAAATATATCTATAGTAAAAACCTTGTTCCATTTTTGATCTCTGGATGAATTTCTGTCTCTAGAAATATTTGCGGGTTTTTTTCCCCCCACTGCCCATCAGTTGGGAAAATATATACATGATGGAATTAAATTCATTATTTCAATTACATGTGAAGTTAAGTGTTTACCTGAGGCAGTAATCATTTCCAGGTTACCTGGGTTGGATTAAGAATCTTTTTTTTGTACAGTTGGGCCTCTTTTTTAAAAGACACTTTAAGAATTGTTGATGATGTGAGAGCTGTTAGTAATGTTTAAGGGGAAATATCTACATTCTGTGTTACAACTCAACAAGATTATTTCAGATTTCATAATCTAATGCAAGATGTTACGTGCTTTTAAAATTCTATCTGCGGTTTGTAGTAAGACTAGGTAAGTTTAATGTGCAACTTGGATTGAAATAAAAATAAGAATGTTGTCTGGCTCTTTTTATAATAAAGCATAAATTCAAGGCGCTAGAACATTTTGAAGCTAGATAATGTAACTAAGAGATAAATTTGACTTCATGTTCAAAACATGTTTAAGTGGTGTTTACTAGTATCCTGTAACATCACATATGCATAAGCATTTGTACGTTATGTGAAGTACTATATGTTCCCACAGATAGACATGCTCAATAGCATATTTATGCTATAATACATAAATATAAGGAGATCATTTTGTTGCAGAGGTTTGAAAAAGATGCTATTCAGAAGATTAATTCAGACTTTTCCTGAAAATTTTTTTTTTAAACTCTTCCAAGTACCACTCTTAAGCTCTGCCCCCATGTAGAAAGGCTTGTATCTCTGGATATGCATGTTTTCAAAATTAAAAATCCCAAAATACTACTTTACTGTTTTAACAAACTTTCATGTCCTGGTGAGTTTTGTTGAAACTATAAAGACATCTCATGCTAGACCTTGAAATAGGGCTGCTATCAAACATATGTTTTCAAGCTGGCTGGTACTTCTCTTACAAAGTATCTTAAACTAAGACTGCAGATTTTGGAGGAAGACAAAATTTTGACACAAGTGGCAAGTCAAAACAAAATCACTTTCCGTAGTTTTTCACAAAAGTGTTACTTAACATTCTCCCTGAGATTCTGGCTTTGATGTTTTGTCTTCATTTTAAGATGGCTTAGAATCTGAGAAAAGTAGAGCCTCAGTGGAAAAATGTTCCCTTTTTGTTGGTAAGAGAAGACCTTGGTGTACAGTTCAAACTTCTGGTTTAAACCTAAAATGCATAGGGCCAAACCGGGCTCTGGAGTAACTGGCAAAACTAACCCTTCTCCAGGCCTGAAGATATGACCCTCATTGTAAAATGCTTTGAAAAGAGTTCCTGCATAATGTGAAAATTATGATCAGAAAACACATTAAACACATTATAACAGAGTTTTGGAAAGTGCCTGCACCTTTTTTTTTTTTGTGGGGGGGGGGGCAGGAGGAGGGGACAACTTACTGTGTAAATTGGTTTCAGATGTTGGATGTATGTGTGTGTATGTATTTTTTTTTCTCCTCTAGTACACAGTGCTGTGGTAAATTGTCTTTCCTTTCACCCCTCTGGAAACTACCTCATTACTGCCTCCAATGATTCAACCCTTAAAATTCTGGATTTACTAGAAGGAAGGCTGCTGTATACTCTTCATGGTCATCAGGTGAGGAGAATCTTCACTATTACTTTCGTAAAGTAATGCATAAAGCACGTGGACTCAGCAGATGGACAGAGAAATGATGCTGAGTCGAGTGTTAGGCTTCAATTCTCTTGGCCTATAACTCTTAAGGTTCCTTGATCAGATTTTTAATTAAACCTGAAATTTCATCGGGGGGGGTGGGGGTGGTGGAGGAAATATTGAGAAAACATGACAAGAAATGTAACTTATTAATCTAATGTACTGTTTTCATAAGCAAGGAAAAAAGGGAGACAGTATACACCTCAGATCCAAATTTGGCTTTAAAATTGTTTTTAAATTGTGAGAACTTGCTTTGTAAAACAATCTTTCCTTCAGAGTCAGCTACTGAAATAAAAAGTGCTCATACATAGGGATCAATATTGGAAAATGGCTCTATACACAGACTAGTTACTTTGTCTTATAGGGTTTCTGGGAAGGAGGAGGGGTATGTTCCTGGGCGTGATTTGGGGGTGAGAGCTTTTCTGGAGTCTTCCCATTTTGGCAGCTGCCGAAGATAAATTATCTTCATTTGATTATGTAATATTCCTGATTGGCAGAATTAACTTATTTGTATTCTAGTATTTATGCTGCTGGGTGTTTTGTTGTTGGTAGGTCTAATTATATTCAGAGTGCTTGGAGCTCTTGTGTTTTTTTAAATGTTAAATCTAAATAAATAGTCTAATTTTACTGTCCAAGCTGAGTGAGGCAGCAAAGGCATGAATAATGAAAAGTAAACAAGTTCTAAAATATTATTTTGCAAGATGATGATAGTGACGATTTAAATTTTAACCCAACAGTGTCCTTATTGGCTGAGGGCTGGGACTTCCAAAGTCAAAGGGCTTTGGGCTTTTGTAGCCCCACTTGGAAGCTCAACTCTTGTAGGCCCCATTTTGAAAACCCTAGCCTGAAGCTGTATACTGGGGTGAGTTACATGAAATACAAAAACAAGCTATCCACTAAATACAGGACATGTAAAAAAATACACACAGACACACACCCCGTTTTCTTTCATACTTAACACTTAAGGGGAGCAAGGGCATTAATAATTTACTGGAAGAATCAGAGAATATCAGGGTTGGAAGGGACCTCTGGAGGTCATCTAGTCCAACCCCCTGCTCAAAGCAGGATCAATCCCCAATTTTTGCCCCAGATCCCTAAATGGCCCCCTCAAGGATTGAGCTCACAACCCTTGGTTTAGCAGGCCAATGCTCAAACCACTAAGCTATTCCTCCCCCCGCCCATTGCATTGGCTGGGAATCGAACCCAGGTGAACCGCTTCAAAGGCAGCTGTGCTCACCACTATACCACCAAAGAGGGCCTAGGTAGTGGAGAGTGAGGACTGTGTGCCTCTTATAGTGAGTCCTAGTTTGAGAGCAGGAGAAGGGGGAAGCATAGAGAGGGGGCGTGTCTTTTTAGTATGTGATGAACTTATTTATTAGGAGTCTGAGCCTGATTTCTACACACACACTTTCTCTCTCTCTTTGTTTTTTTCTTCTTTCTGCCTCCCTCTTCCCCACCGTGTGGTTGCATAAAGGAGAGAATTTGACCTTGGCCTGGAGTAGTTCCAGATCTGAAAAAGTAGTGAATAGCTGAGTATTGCATTGTGCAATACTAGAGGAGACTTCATAAGTAGATTTGTGTGGATTGATCCTATATTTTAAAAAAATGACTAGACTGTTCTTGAATCAGCTAGTCAGATATGGGACTGACCATTTTGCATTGGATACATATGGACACAGACATACAAGTCACTCAGTTTTGAGTCTGGTTTAGGTCAATCAGACCTGCCGCTCATCATCTGCTGGATTCCGGCATTCCTTGTTACGTTGTATTAGCAACAGCTGAAAACTCTTCTGCAGTGACGGACTGCTATAATCTGCTTTGCAACACGCTAGTTCCTCCAGTTAGGGAGTAATGGAAGGAGGTGGGGATGAGAGAGAGCATTTTTTCTAAAAAAATCAAACATTCTTGTGCAATCTTAGTAGTATATTAACTTAGGGCCTGGTTCAACAGACCTGTTCTGGCCCTGGGTTGACTTCTGCAACCTTATAAAATCTGCTGTGTTGATTTAGAGGCTGATTTAATGTAACTTTTTCACCCCCCAGAAAGTGTGTATGTGATATGTATTGTGTCTTTACCACTTCCTCTCTAACCTTAACACAGCTGTCTGTACTGCCCCAGTGACAGGGAGATGCAGCAAGTGTACACCTATCCAAGCTAGTTTTGATCTAATTAGCTTAAGTAACAGTAGCCGTGAAGCCATGACAGCATGAGCTTTTCAGCTCTGCCTGGGACCCTGGGTATGTACTTGGACAGCTAGTCCATGCTGCCGTCTGCTGCTGCTGTGGCTTCTTTGCTTTTGGTACCGGAACTAGCTAGCTCAAAGCTAGCTCGGTGATGTCTGCATGTGCTGCAGTCACACCTCTGATGGCATCTCCTCAGTCCGTGCCACTGTAGTTGAAAATGAAGTGTTAAAAGACAAATATATGTATATATATTTTTTTTTAAAAAAAAATGAGCGAGATTGTAGAAATATTAGTTACTCAGATGAACAGCTTGTTCTGAAGACATTCTTGACTTGTGAGTTTGTGTGGGAGAATATACCTGGTCCAGATTTGGTGGTTCTTCTGACAGCTGATTGCTGTTCTGGGACAGTTATTCGTAAGTGAAAATTTCAAGAAGAAAGATTTGAGTTCCTTCAAACGTGCTTTGACGCAACTGTTGGAGTGCAAGGAATTTGTGTTACTGGCTGATTTAGCTCTAGTTTAAATAGGGAGACTTGCCAAGTTTATATTGCTGTCTTTAATTATAATGGAGCTGGCCTCTCATACCAGAAGGATCATCAGAGAGACTGGAGTTCGTAGCTCTGAGCTGACATCTTGCAGCTGCAAAATATCATGCTGTAGCTGCACGTTTTTAAGTGCTTCAAGTTGTGAAATACTTTCACTCACTTTCATACAAATGAGACTTGGTGTGCAGGCCCACCATTGATATTTGTTCATCATACAGGAACAGAATGTTACAGGACCTTTATAAGTCATTCTTGGGTAGTCATTAGAAAAATGTAAATATGTACACTGTATGTATACTTTATCTGAAGGTTCTAATGACTACTTCCAGACAACTTCATTAACAGAGTAGACATTGTAAGCAAATGGTTACGTAAAACATTAGTATTGTTATATTTATAAATAGGAGTCCAAAAAATGCAGAGTTAAGATTCTGCAAGCAACCTTAATTTTGGCCATATAATCCTCACCTTCTACCCACCTGATTGATAAGTGGTAAAACTATAGAAACTCTCCACTTCACTGACTAAAACTGTAAGACACTTTAAACAGGTGTATCAGCATATGGATGTGCTACTCCGCTATCTGCTGTCAAAATATAGAGAGAGGACAGCATCAAATTTGCATGCAGTTCCAGGCTTTCGGTGTGTGTGGAGAAGGGTTGAGGTAGATGCATGTGTGTCTGTGTATAGTGGTCTTATAAGTAGTGAAATTTTTAGATACCACTTGAAATATAGTAAGTGGAGGCTTTTATTTTTCTATTTTTAAACTTTTTTTTTTAAATTAATTGTTGTCAAAAAGCCAGTGAAGAAGTATCTTGTAAGTATTTATGTACTTTTTTTATTGGTATACATGCTCTTTTTAGTAACTGTGACCTGAAGTCATCTAAATGTTTTTCCCGTGACAAGATAATTTAGGTGTGTAATGGCTTCTTACCTCTACATTTTTAAAGAAGTAATTGTCTTTGCCAATACCACTCATCCCCTGACAGAAGGGATTAAATATCATGCCATCATGTGTTCACCCATCAGTAGGGTGAATTTCTGCCACTACATCTTCCTTATCCACTACTCAACTGGTTGTCAGTGGATAAATGGGTGGAAAATGACTTTGCTGCTGAGGCACTGTAGTATGCAGTTACCTCTGTGGAAAGGAAAATGGCATTGGCTCAAGGACTGGTGGGTCATGGTGTCTTTTAGTAGCATCACTGAAGGAGTTACAGAATTGAAGATTAGGTCTAGGATTCCCCCATCTGCTCCTTTTATGGTAGGAAGGGTGTGCATAGATGCTCTCAGTCAGGAGCAGGAACTCTACCAGGCAGCTCTGGTGGCTGACATGTTTTCCTTCCTGGATGTGGAGGAGAATGGTGCAGGAGGCCCATGAATAACTGAATGACTTTGAGGGTAAGGTTAACTTGGTGAACTGCCACCCGTGATCAGCATTCCTTTTCTATTTATCTTTAACAAAAAGAGCTAGAAGCTGTCTTGTTAACGAAAGCTTAAACACAGGAATTCATAATCTCTGTCAGGTTATGAAAAGTTTTGGAAGTTTTACAGTGAGTGACTTTCTCCAAAATTGACTTCCCAACTATTCTAAAAATATCTGCACAATAGTTCTCATTGCAGGTAACAAAACAGAACTTCAGATTTCCAGACCAAGCCATTTTTGAGCTGACATAGTAAGAGAAAAATATCAGGGGATAGCTGTGTTAGTCTGTATCCACAAAAACAACAAGGAGTTCGGTGGCACCTTAAAGACTAACAGATATATTTGAGCATAAGCTTTCGTGGGTAAAAACCTCGCTTCTTCAGATGCATGGAGTGAAAGTTACAGATGCAGACATAAATATACTGACACATGGAGAGAAGGGAGTTACCTCACAAGTGGAAAGCCAGTGTTGACAGGGCCAATTCGATCAGGGTGGATGTAGTCCACTCCCAACAATAGATGAGGAGGTGTCAATTCCAGGAGAGACAAAGCTGCTTCTGTAATGAGCCAGCCACTCCCGGTCCCTATTCAAGCCCAAATTAATGGTGTTAAATTTGCAAATGAATTTTAGTTCTGCTGTTTCTCTCTGAAGTCTGTTTCTGAAGTTTTTTTGTTCAAGTACAGCTACTTTCAAATCTGTTACAGAATGTCCAGGAAGATTAAAGTGTTCTCCCACTGGCTTTTGTGTGTTACCATTCCTGATGTCCG